CTATCTTACAATCCAGACATAGCATTACCACACGTGGAAAAAAAACAATACATTTCTACAGTAAAAAATAATAAAAAAAATACACATGTGTTTTTCAAACCTAAAGACAACATTCTGTTTAAAAGCTGTAATGTTGTAAATAGCACCTGTGAGGCTCCACATGCAAGAGAGACAGCTCTCTCCATTGTGATGCACTCAGCTCACAGAGGCAGTGGCTTAGAAACAAACATTCCAGTGGGAGCTCATGTAAAAACCCTCAGAACATGTTGGTAGCACACTTGAGAACACACAGCAGGACGAGCACATGATGGACTGCACTTGTACAGTTATGCAATGCAATGTACAGCACTTACATCCCAAACTAAGTTTAAGCTACCTGAGTAAGAAGGCAACCTTTAATACCTCTTTTCATTGCTTGTCCTAGATTTAGACAGAAGTGTCTCTTGGCTTCTCATGTGTGTAACTGTGGAGCTGCCCCTTCCTCCTGCACAATACCTCTGTGTAAATCCACTGAAAGCACCCTAAACACGAACCATTCTGAAGCCTCCAAACATCGAGGTTATGCTGTCACCTCCATCAACAGCCCAACAGAAATTAGTTTATTCACAGAAACAGCGTCACATGGGAAGGCTGAAGGCACCCACTGCCCACCATCACAACGGGCCTTCACACCCTGCTCTGTATCATAGAATCATAGAATCACAGAATGGTCTGGGTTGAAAAGAACCACAATGATCATCTGGCCGCAAACCACCAGACCAGGCTGCCCAGAGCCACGTCCAGCCTGGTCCTGAATGCCTCCAGGGATGGGACATCCACAACCTCCTTGGGCAACCTGTTCCAGTGTCACCAGCCTCTGTGTGAAAAACTTCCTCCTAATATCTAACCTAAGCTTCCCCTGTCTCAGTTTAAAACCATTCCTCTCAGTACTCTCACCACAGACCAACACACTCGGGGAGATGCTGTGAGAAACAGCTGCCAGGCACAGCACTGCATGGCTCGGAAACTAAAAGCCAGCCCTTTCCCCGTTGTTTCCTTCCTGAAGCAGGCCGCTCCCAGCCCAGCCCCTTCACCTGGGACAAGACCACCGCGGCCCTCACCACCAGCCTGGTGCGAGCTCCACACCCAGCTGCACAGTCGAACTGGAACTTCTACCTGAGTCCGTCCACCTCGCACCTCCTCCTTCCTCGCCATCCGCAGGTCTCCAGAAGTAGGAGAACACCCTGGAGAGAAAGCCGAGCATCGCGCACAGCCTCACCACCCCAAACACAGCGCCCGCTCACACACCACTGCGGCCTCCCCGCCGCGCCGCCGGCCAATCACGGCGCTGGCTCGGAGTCACGTGACGGGCCATTCGGCCGCAGCTGTCTGCTGTGCCTTCCCGCCGCGGGCGCGTGGTAGGGGCGGGCTCGGTATGGTGACTGTTGTTTGTGCTGGTGTTGTGCCTTCGGGTGCTAAGCGGGTGCTAAGCGCGGCCCGCTGATGTGGAGAAGCAGAGTACAGGGGAGAGTGCATGCATGCAAGCGATTATATGATGACTCTATGATTCTGTGAATCACGTTGTTGAGTTACTGTAATAACAACAGAAGCGTGCTTCAAAGCACTAAAACTCTAGAATGTTATAAACTTGGTAAACAGCAGAACCAAAGAATTTGGTCTCCTTCCTTCTCACCCTCCCCCTTTAGATGCTGAAAGGCAGCTTTCAGGTTTCCCTGGAGCTTTCTCTTCTCCAGGCTGAACAGCCCCAGCTCCTAGCGTGTCCTCATAGAGGGGTGTTCCATCCCTTGGATCATTTCTGTGTCCCTCCTCTAGCCATGCTCCAACACGTCCATGTCTGTCCTGTACTGAGGACTCCACATCTGGACGCAGTACTCCAGGTGAGGCCTCACCAGCACAGAGCAGAAGGGGAGGTTCACCACCCTCAGCCTGCTGATCACACTTACTGATGCAGCCCAGGATACTGCTGGCTTTCTGGGCTGCAGTGGACATTGCCGGTCTATTTGCCAGTTCTCTTGAAGTGTGCTTTAGGTATTTGGTGTAAGCTCCTTTAAATGTCATTTAGCAGAGGGCATTTTGCAAGTGAGTTTCTGATTTGGTGAGCTCAGTGTCCCAGTAGCATCACTGGGAGCAGCAGCACGAGGCCAGGGCGGGGGGGTCCAGGAGGTTTGGCAATGCAGCCTGTGCCTCTATGGAAAACTGCTGTACGGCTGTTTGTTATGGGAAGGTGGTGTGGTCTGTGAGCGGATTCCAGGGCTAGGGTAGCGGTTGTCTTCAGCAACCTTTTGTACTTGCACAGTTAGCTCAGCTCTGTTCAGGGAGGGAAGGGCTAGGGATGCATTGCAGACTGCGTGACGCTTTTTATAGAGTTCTGCACAGTTCCTAGACCAAGGAAATTCTGGCTGCCAGTAATTGCACATGGGTTCCCAGCTCTTGTTCTGGTGTAACTGGGGTGATGTGATGCATACTGGGAGGAGGGACCTCCCAGTGAGTATGAGTGCCTGTAGTCACTGATCTCTTTAGAAGGAGATAAATTCCTGTCTGAAGATCCTGCTCCTGACATTATTTATGAAAGCCTTCACAGGTTGTTTGTGCTGCTCAATCTTACTGCAAATGGAAAAGGCAAGTATTTAATCTGAATGTCCTTTAAAATGTGTATGTGCTATGTTTGTTCAGTACACCCATATATTTAGAAATATTTAATGTTTCAGTAGCATGAAGTGGATAGTATATATACTGGTCAGACTGGTTTGAACTCCTTAGATCATGATTAACGTGAAAGACAGTAAAAGCAAATAAAAATGTGTTGTAATGGGGGAGCAGTTTTGAAGCAACTGGGCCTGTACTTTGTTCTGTACATGCCCCATCACATAAGCTGGGAAACCAAACACTTTGAGGAATTGGTTCCACAGAAGCAAAGTACTTCAAAGAGCTGATTTTTAGAGCTGAAAATACCAAAGTAATACAGATCCTAACATTGGCAAATGACCTAGCACCTGCTACAGCTGCTTTGGGAATTTGAACCCTTTCAGTTGTCATTAGTAGCTGTTAAGTTGTTCTTCATAGCCTTTTACAATTTGATTCGATCGTTGTCTCTTGATATCATTTGACCTATCTTAGAATAAAAATGCGTAGTTTGTAAACCTTTTTGAGAAGTCTGTAATGTCCTGCTGGAGCTGTTACACTTTCTGCAGTCTTTGTGCAGGTTTCCTGTGCAGCTTTTAAAATTAGTAGGAATCTCTTCATACAACACCTTTGTACAGCACTTAGGATTGTAGGGTCATTTGGCCTCTGACTACCAGATTGTGCCTTGTGCCTTTTGTGTATACACAAAAAGGAGCCAGGATTTTGTACAAAATCTGAAACACAGAATTAGGGAACTAAAATAAAGGACCCAAAAAAATGGGTAGAAGCTGAAATCGGAAGTTTTTGTTGACATAGATGAAAAATCTGGAGAGTATCATGCAGTGAACCTCTGTGCAAAAAGTAAAGCAACAAATACAAGGAAATGCTCAGGAAAGGGTGAAGAAGGAATCACAGTGTAACCAGAGGAAATGCTGTAGTGCCCTGCTTGAGAGAGATGGCCTTCAGGTTCCATTCTGGCTAGAATACTTGGAATTTTCAGTTATGACTCCTGGTGTTGTTGGGTGTTGCTCTGTTTGGTGACATAAGAGTTTCTAAATTCATTTTTACTCAAAGAGATTAAATCAAGTAAATATCTGAAGAGCTCCCCAGTTCTTTCTTTTTAACTTAAAAAATCTCCCTATATTGACTTAAATGGTCAAAAGGGAAAAAAAAAACATGGTCCTATTTTAAATCTCTACTAATTTGTGTTAAACTCTTGCTCTTAGTACCTAGCAGTCTTTGAAAAGGATGTGAAGTCAGCGTTATCCATTTTCCATTGAAACACAGCCTTTGAAAGGGTCCAAAGAGTGGAAATACTTGCATAGCATGTTGTCTTCGAGCAGAAAGCCTTAATTACTCACGACAGTTTTGCTAGGCTACAGAGATTTTTCCCCTCTTCTCTAACACAGTACACAGCTATGTACCGTGTGTGATTAATTTCCATGTTTCAGACTATTAAAACTGTACCTTTTAATATTTTTTTTAGTATTAGCTTTCACTTTGAGAAGAACACAAATCATGTCAGCCCAAAATGAAAAGTAGGGGTGCTCTGAAGTTTTTTTTAGCATGCTTTAAAAGGTGATGCTCTTGTCCAAAAGTGCTGAAAATCTAATTGTGTCTTCGTTACTTCATTGAAGCGTACACAAGAGCCCCTGTCATTGCTGTAGTTGTCAAGATGCCAACATATTCAAGATAAAAGCATTCTTTCTTTCTTTCTTTTTTTTTTTTTAATTGCCTAATAAGCAGGAGAACTGGACCCAGTGTTCACTGGCCATTGCATGTCACTGCTGCCTACTAGATTTTAAATAAGTTGTGTAGTCGTCATGGTATAAGTGTGAATGTCAGTATGATGCCAACGTGCAGGTTTTATCTGTGCACTCTAGAAAGACAAGGTTAATAGAAAAAAGATAAAGAGTTCTACAGTGAAGATAAGGTTCTTGATAAGTTTTTAACTTATAGCTTCCCAACTTTTTGTGATACTTGAATTTTTACTTGTAGGTTATTCTAGGAAAATGCTGTGTTTTAAGTAGCTCTTGCTCTTTTGAAGCAAGGACTAGATTGTTGAATATCATAATCACAAGTTATGATAGTAACTAAAGCTGATAAACTACAAGTAAGATTTAATTTAGTATGCCAAGTAAAGAATAGTACAGAAAAAGATGTTTGAAACTTTTTTAATTTGCTGGTGTGATTTGGAAGCAGCTCTTAATGTGAGTAGTGCAGTCATTTTCTAGTGTATTCTGTTAATTAAAATTCAAGAAGCATTTTCCTGTTCCCTGGCTTAACTCAAGTTTTTGCTGTGCTTTTGTTCCGTATCTGAATAGATGTTGTTGAAAGCCAAAGTGTAAGGGAGAACTTTTCAAAGACGGCATGACTCACTGAGCGGTGAGGAGATCACAAAGTGTACGGGCATCTGTGTTCACAGGACTGCTTTAAACTGACAGTTAACTTTTCAGTCAGAGGTAAGCGTGAAGTTCTTTAACTGTTGAAAAATGTGCAGTAACTTTGATGTAAGGTACTCAAGGTATTTTAACAGATTGCAGGCAGTGAGATGAACAGAATGGGGCAAGCAAGCAACATGGTTGCTATTGGACAAGTTAGAAAGAAATTGCTGTAGCCGAATTACTGTGATTTTGTGAGCTTATTGGTGTCATGGTGAAGTCTGTCATTTCAGATGTCTGGTAAGTTTTAAAATCAAATGCAATTTAACATCTAGACATGTTTTAAAATGTTTGTCAATCCCTCAGATTTTTTTTCAAAAAAAAAAAAAGAAAGAAAAGAAAAAAAAGAAGGGAATTATTTGGTTGTAGGGTTACCCTCAAGTTACACGTCTCCAAAGATGTTTTTTAGATCTTCCCATAAAAGTCTGTTGAGTTTGTGTGTAGATACACAAACTTTCATTTTGTTGGTATTTATACTGTATTATGATGTATTATTGTGAACCATGGCTATATAATGTAATTTAGTTACTGAGTGCAATTAGTTGGCAAGCATGCATACTTCAAAATATAAATACAGCTCTGTACTAATTTTTACTTGTTTATTCTTCTTAAATAGAAAAAAAATTAATTGGGCACTGATCTGAGTATATAAAGAAACTAAGTTAGATTTTTGATCTTTCTTTGTCCTCTGCATTGCCATTATTATTTAGTTGCCTTTACAAAGTGTTATGACTAGGGAAGAAGGTTACAGAGAAGAGTTCAGCTATGACAGAATGCCAACTTTGGAGCGGGGAAAGCAAGAGAATGGAAATTATATACCGGATATCAAATCCAGTGACCTTCAGCTATCAAAGAGGCTGCACCCCTGCTTTATTTACAGAACGTGGATCTTTTCTTTGCTGATGGGTGTAAGTAAATTATAAAGAGTAAAAATTAAAAATTCTTGGGGAGGTTCTCTAATCTGTCCTGTTTCAGATCATTTAGGGAGTCATAACTACACCTTTGATAGGACTGAATATAAATACTTGTATGGAAAGAAACATACTTAGCAAACTTAAAATGTAACTTTTAATTGACTAATAATATTCTTTGGAGCGTTTTGCAGTAACTAAATGTGCTTCATGAAGGCTGATTTTTGTATTTAACATTAAATGAAGTACGTGTGGTAGTTGTGAATATCAACCTTTATTTATGAATTATTAATGCCTCTTTGTGAAGTATGTAAATTATCCTAATCACGTGCCTACTTTAAATTTTTATTTAAACTATTGAGAGTACTTGCCTTCATGGCATTTTGACATTAAAAATGCATGCAGTATTTAGTTGTCAAATTTTACTTTATGTTTTCATAAAGCTATGGACTTTTTTGATAGAATTCTCATGTAATGACTTACGTTTCTTACATGAACATCATAGTGATATGAATTGTTGTAGCTCTGGTAGAATCACTGGACGCTGATCTTGCACAAGCATCATGTTACTCCATGTTCTAGCCAAGTTAATTAAAGCTCATTATAGCAATTACAATTAAGTCTTCTTCTTAAGTCTTTTTTTTTTTCTTTTCTATGAGTTGGTATGTTTTGAAGACTAATTTTTGTAAGAGCTGAAATGTTTCACTGTTTATAGGGTAATAAATCATTTTTGCATAGTGAATAAAAGTAGTGCTTTACTTTCATGGAAACAACTGAACGCTTTTTTTGTTCTGACAGTCTGTGTAACGTGGCTTTCCTTTTGGATGTATGGTGACACGAAAAGAACAAAATAAGAACTAGCTTTCCTTGCATTAAATTTTCTCAGCGTATGTGTGCTAGGCAACAGAAGTTCCATGGTGAACAGAACTGTGTTCATGGGGTGGTTGCAAACTATAGAGTGACATCAGAGTGGCTAGCAATGGCTGTTCTTGTGCAGGAACACAGTGGGGTTTTTGATGAGGACTTTTTAAAGACATCAGAAATCTGCAGCTTGAAAAAAATGCCCAAATAATAAAGAACAGCAGTTCTGTCCCCCATCTTTCCCAACCTCTTTGAAGGAATGTCTACTCAGAGCAGAAAGAAAAATGGTTAGTAGAAGATACTAATCATTTGATGCTGAAAGTTTAGCCCTAATTGTGGGCTAATTCCTAATGAATGGAGTGATTAAAGAGGGAACAGCAGAAGTTGAGTGTTTATGGTTGTGCCACTGAACCAAAGTGGCAAGGGAGTTTGGAGGGAGAAAGGAGTGCAGGTGGATGTACCTTAGTCAGTATATCCTAATACTATTTTTGTTATTATTTTCTTGTTGGTAGTTGCCCATGTGAACTGTGAATTTTGGTAAAGCCAAGCAGATTATGCAAAGTAGAGGCTTACTTATGTTTTCTGGAACTTTTTTTTTTTTAATGTTGAACCCTCTGCAATTACCTTGTGATAATTTCCTTAGGTGTTTGCCAAGTCAAGGTACAGTACCTGATTCAGACATGCTTTTTTGGTATTAAGTCTTGGTAACCAGTGAAATGTATTCCTCAGAACTCAGCATGCTTAGATATTTTGCTTCAAAATTATTCACACAAAGACTACATTATTGTCCATCAGTAGCTCAGCTTGAAAGGAATTACTGATTTTTATCTTTACAGTAGTTTTATTGTACTAATTCATGTTATTTGTTGCTTTGCAGGCTTGCCTCCTTATTACCTCTGGGTTTTCACTGTATCTGGGAAATATTTTTCCATCTGAAATGGATTATTTACGTTGCGCAGCAGGTTCAGTAAGCATTCTTAATTATTTGCTGTGGCTGTTTGACAGCAAAAACAGTAAATGTTGTGTATTTATTTTCTTATTTATTTCATCTTTTTATTATTAACTTACTTCATGGAAAAATTATTTTTCTTTAACACTTTAACTTGTTAAAGTGGGTACTTTTCAGGCCACAACTAAGGGAATAGCCATTTTCACAAATGGTGTTGTGCTGCCATTTTTGTTTATCAGCTTACCATGGACAGCCATTAATTATCTGCTTGAGTGGTTTTTCTATGCCTTACTTGAAGAAAAATTTGTACTGTTATGCACTTGCAGAATTTGTTGCCTAAATGCTGTTGGAATGTATTTCAGTGTATTACATTTTTCATTATATTTTGCCATAATACCCAAGTACTGAGGCAGACTGAAGAAGTTCTCTGTATTATTATTGTTTTCTTAACAAAATGTGAATCAATCATATCTGACATTTTCAAAATCCACTAATTTTTACTGCACATCTAGGCCCTCACATTTGTCTTATGTTATTGTATCAAGCACTGCAATGGGCTGCCCAGGGAGGTGGTGGAGTCACCGACCCTGGAGGTATTCAAGGAATGTTTGGATTTTGTGTTGGGGGACGTGGTTTAGTGAGTACTACTGGTGGTAGGTGTATGGTTGGATTGAGCGATCTTGAAGGTCTTTTCCAATCTTGGTGATTCTGTGATTCTGTGATTCTGTGATTAACTTATTCTTTAGGTCTTAGCTTATAAGATGAGTCTGATGTACTTGTTTTGTTTGTGACAGGATTCTGTTCTGTCATTACTATTTTGTCAACTTGACTTGTGGATTTATTTTAAGTTAGGTGCAAGGCTAATGCTTTACACAAGTACCAGGAGTTCTGTGGGTGAGCTGTGACTTATCTTTCTGTTAGAGAGATTAGAATAATGTTAAAGCAGTTTTTGAAGCCACTGTCTTCGCTGAACTGTTACACTGTGCACCATTAATGTAGTTACTGAGATATATCTTTTTCTGCCTCAAATATGGTCTCTTTGAACTTTGTATTTACTGAGAATTTCTAAAGATACAGAAGGTTAAGTGACAAATCACTTTTATGTTGGGTTTGAATGGCTTGCTGTTGTTGAAGACGTGTATGTTTGGGTCTGTATGTGGGCAACGTGTTTCAGCTACTGCTGCAGATAATGGCAGTGTAGTTGGAAGAGTCTATAGAACTGTATAATCTACTGACTACTAAATGTCTGGCTTACCAAGAGCAGAATTGCTCTCTAGAATGTATTGACCATCTTGACTAGGAATAGAATTCAGTTGTCTAACTGCAGTCACATTGTGTTCTAGAGACCCTAGGGCGTTCAGGATATAAATGTATCAATTCATGATGTTAAAGATGGGTCACTTAGGTGCCAAGAATTTTGAATTTCCATATTAATCTAATTATAGGGGTTTCATTGTTAAGCTGTCAGTGCTCAGACTTGTTAGAAGATAATTAGTGAACAAATGCAACGGTTATTACATGATTCATCAGTTAACCTGAAAATCTTATCCATAATTTTAGTTGAGTATATTCATATTTTACTTATGAATATATTGTACAATTGCATACATGTGAAAAACAGAGTTGGATCCGTAATAGTAATATATCTAATGTGGTGGGGAGCAACTGGGGCTTGAGAAATTGCTTTGTGAAACTTTTCCTTTTTGTGTGATTTTTCCATTTAGCTCTGCTCTTTTGTAGTGAAATTTTCCTAGTGAAACTAACAGAGGTTCTAGGCATGATTCTTAAATTGTAATGTCTCAGCAGACTGGTTTTTATCAAGTTCTTCAGAAGAGTGTGGTTGAGATTTTAAACAACCATTACGTTGTATTTTTAAAAGAATATGGAGGCCCAGTGCAGGAGTAGCTGTGCTATTCTTTTCCTTCTTAAAGATGTTCTAGAGTTAATTTAGCTAACAAAGGCATGGAATGACTCATGAGACTTCCATGCTTTCCTTTATGCATCACATTGTGCTGGGTAGCTAGTCAAAAGTGAGGATATGGAAACTTCTAGTAATCCTCCAGAACCAGTTGTAATTAATGAGCCCAGTGAAGGAGGATGGTCTTTCCTCAGAGTTTCTATTTTCAGTTTGTCTAATTATTAGCTGTAATATGTAATATTAAATCTGATTCAATTAAAAACACATATAGAAAAATATATTTAATATTCTTTGTGCAGAATATCCCACTAGTTTTCTCTCTTAATTTTCCCAGTGTATTCCTTCAGCAGTTGTGAGCTTTGCTATAGCAAGGAATAAAATTAATGTGGTAAGTGAAAGATTTTTTTTGGCAATTATATCAATTATATCTTTTTTTTTTCCTCTTGTTTGTAAGATGAGAGCGAAACCCATTCTGAAATTTGTTTTACAGATACCCAATTTTCAGATTCTGTTTGTCTCTACATTTGCTGTTACAACAACATGTTTAATTTGGTTTGGATGCAAACTTGTCCTGAATCCGTCAGCTATAAATGTAAGTTAATAGAATAATTGCTAATTAAAGCAACATTTATCTTTGCTTTACAAAAAAAAAAAAAAAAAAAAAGTAACAACATAGTTTTCAGTCTACAGAGATCATCTGCCAGTAACTTTACTTTCTGGGGTAAGACAAGACCTGAAAAATTGAAATCAGAAATAAAACCTCATGATACAGCTAACTTACTGGAGATGAGTATGAAAATGACTTTCTTGTATTTTAAGTTCAGGAGTATGAATGAGATGTTGAAGGGTAATCCACTTTTACCAACAGTCTTTTTATTTTTCTTTTGATCGAAGAAACTTCTTAAAAAACTATTGTTTAAATTATTTGATTTTTTTTTTTCTGAAAGAGCAGGATCAGAATAACACTGAAAACAGTTTAGTACTTCAGTTATAGATAAGGCAATTTTCAGGGTCAAATTATATTGAAATGGAAGTGTCCCAAGCAGTGGTATTGTATGACATCTTCAGATTAAGTATAACTCTTTCTTGGATCTTCTACATTGTACAGTTTTGCTTCTGAAGTCATCAAGTAAAGAAAGTTTTGATGAATGTTTCTCCTATATATTGTCAACAAAGAGAAGGCAGCTGTTAGTATTATTTAAAATGCACTTATTTCATGCAGGGGAGAGTTCTTTGTTTTTGAATCACAGCCTTAACACTTGTCTTTGGTAGTCTAAGCCAAACAGTAACATTATAGGGTTTTTTGGTTATGGTAAAATGTTCTGAGTCCTCTATTCTATATAAGAATATGAAGTGTGAGAATAATTCTGTGAAGTAATATAGCAGTAGTAGGTATTATTGTTAGTGTTGATAAATGCTCAGACTATCACAGAACAGCTCAATACAACTATGTCAAACATTTTACATGAATGTTAATGACAGACACCAGTCTGTCCCTGTAATTACGGTGCTTCTGGACCCAAACTTGAATATCTACTTGACACTGCACTGTAAATGTGGCCTTGTCAGCATATCTTGGTACCAGTGCTACATGTCAAAACATTGTAGTTTGCAGGCTGGATTCTATACCCAAAAGAGCCTTTAAAATCTGCCAGCTATGACCTTTTTCAAAATAAATATGTATATATATGTAATGAAAGGTAATGTTGGAGAAAAACTTAGATTTGATCATCCCAGAAATAGGTCTACCATGAAGAAGCACTTAGTTCACTGAGCTGCGTTTTACTCAGCTTGTATAGATTTTTAATGGAGTTAGTTCTCCTTGAACTTTTGGTGCTTTACCCAATGGCCACATCTAGCCACCAAATTTTTTTTTTGGGCTGCTACTGGAAAAACATTGTGCTTCCAAAGGCTTACAGAGGGAGATCTACTCTGCCTAACTTGAACACTTCTAGAAGATTATTAAACCCACGTAGAGTTGGAATTGTCTCATGAAAAGAGGTAGATAATGAACTGAAGAAAAATATTCCATTCGGTGTATTCTTGTCTTGAAGATGAACAATGGCAGAAGGGATGGCAGCATATATTTTTTTTTACATGGTAATGTAGTCTGTTAGACCTGGAAGAGTTGCAAAATCGCATCTACTAGCACTAGGCAGAACACAGAGCTAGGATTCTTGGCCCAGTTCTTTGGAATGTGTTTTCATTCAGTATTAGGCATTGCATCAGACAATTTGCATTGCAGCGTAGAGTTTGGAAGCCTGTGGCCCTCTTTCTCTCCCAGTGGATTTCCTTTGCCTCACAGGCTAGTCAGGCTCCCTCTTGTTTATCTTCTTGCTTTTTCTATGAGTTTTTATGATTTGCTGCACTGTTCTGGTTTCATTTCTGCAAAATGCAGCAATACCCAGAACATTCCCCATGTTATTAACTGCTTTTTTGGGAGACAGTGGTGTACTGTTTTTCAGGCAGATCATTCTCATAATTGAAATAAATATCTCCTTCTCAGATTAAGTATTCTCAGTATTATGTAGATAACTAAGTGTTCTAGAAATTCGTCAAAAATAAAAAGTTTTTAAAAGCATCCAATCAGCAGAGCATCTAAATATCACAGCATGTAGATAGCTGGATCCTGCCCCATTTGTTACTTTTAATATCAAAGATGTAACTTATTTATGTCTGGAATTCCACTGACAGATAAATTTCAACTTGATTCTACTTATTCTGCTGGAAATCTTCATGGCAACTACTGTGATCATTTCAGCTAGATCTACTGAAGACTGCTGTATGAGAAAGAAAGTAGGTACCCTAAGGTTAGAGTTGATAAAGAGTTGATTGTTTTTTGATGTTTCTCTAAGTAACTGTAAAAAAGTGTTAGATTTTTCCTGTATTATGTGTGATACCTGGACAATAAATATTGGCTTCAGGTTTTTCCTTAAGTGCTTTTCCAAAACAAACTCTTGTTTCTGTGTTACTTTTTTTACCTACTACTGAAGCCATTTCATGATTTGGTGGAAGCACTGTTTGCTAGACAAAGTCATACTGTAAATGTCTTCCTTCAGTTACCGTGTCAGCAAAATCAGAAGGATTTACATCAGATTTTCAGAAATCTTTCAGACTTTGAAAGGCTAAGGAAGAAAGTAGAAAAGAGCGATGGCTGTATTCCACTGTTGAGTGGTGGTAGTATAACAGCTCATCTGGGACTACTTTGTTTATTTTCAGTGTGACTGATGCACTCTGACACTGTCAAGTATTGCCAAATGTCACTTTTGGTTCTGATGGGCCAACCAGACGTTACGTGCCACCTGTAACAGGATCTGTAACAAGTTTTACAAAATGTAAAAACAAATCTATTATTTGCATATTATTCAGTCACAATTTTTAATTTCTTCTAGAATGCCACATACGATAGTACCATTGCTTTGAGTAATGTCAGCTTTCCTGCCCGAATTCTGAAGTCATACTCAGTAAGTACATGTTTTCTGTCTTTATATCAATTTATTCTTGCATCATTATAAGTGCCAAAATCCTTTAAAGTCAGAAACAGATTGATGTAGGTAAGCACTGCAAGAATTAGAAATATGAGATGGATCCTAAAATGCTTCCTTTTAGAATATTATAAGATAAATAACTGCCATGTACATTGGGAAAAAGATTACTTAATGACCTAAGGATAAATACTGTAAACTGAACTGTTGTTTAGTGGAGCTAATAAATGAGAGTATAAACATGCATAATAAAGCTGAACTTGCTTTCATTTAAGCCAGCTGGAGTTTTGCCATATTTTACATCTGTGGAACATTGACTTTTTGTATATCTAACAGCATAAATGCTATTTTTTTTTTCCCAGGGAGTTCTTTTCCACAGGCAAATAGGAATTTTGTTTTTTAAACGAACTATTTATAACTTGTGTGTTCTACTTTGTTTTAGGTAATTGAAGTGATAATTGGAATTTCATCAGTATTTGGTGGCATAATTGCTTTAAATATGGATGTTCTGGTGTCAGGTCCATATCTTTCAGTAACATTCTTTTGGATCTTGGTTGCTGTAAGTAGTTCAAAATGAATGTACTCTTTTAAAACAGCGCATTTGATTTTTCTTTCTCTTTTTCACTGTGCTGGAATGTTTATTTGACCCTAATATTAATTGGAAATTTCTGCATTGCAAATAAATACTTCAGTATATCTAGTCTATTATGTAATGATGGTTCTACTTTGATTTTTAAGACTTTGGTCCTTAAAACATATTGTGATACATTTTCAGTCCCCAGTAACATGGAAATGAGTAATAAGGGTTTTAAAGACGTTGTGTTTTGTGAAACAATTCCTAGATTTTAGAGTATTTCAGGCTGCAAAATAAGAAGTTGTGTTAAATTTTAGTGTGATAGGTTCCTCAGGATATCACCTTTAGCTCATCAGAATTAACTGGATTAAAAGCCTGAGACTGTGTTTGGTAATGCTTGTCACTAATAACAGCCTGCACCTAGGAACAGTGCAGTCGTAAAGAATGGTGTGTTACTCTGCTTGCCAAAAGCTGAACAAGCTGAGAAGGATGGCAATGAACACTAGTTTTATATATGGCTCCTATGTCTGGAAAATCCCTCTCAGGAAATGGAAAAGGATTGTAAACAACTTCTTCAGCATGCAAAACTCACAGCGTTCTGTGGGGCTCATTAGATTTTAAGGCAGAAACGTCAAGTTTTGTGGTTAATATTTCATTATGTGGAGGTTTAATGCATGATCCTCATTTAAATGTAAGCTAAATGAAGATTAGTTTTATCTCTGTTTAATTAATTGATTCACAGTACTGTCACTAAAAATATATGCAGTTTCATGTCTTCATTAAATTTAGGATGTGATCTGTGACTAGTGGGAATCACTGTTACACAGTTGTAAACTGTGCAATTTTCAAGTAGGTAAATCCTTATTTGTTACACTTCCTTATCTTGTACTCTATTTAGTGCTTTCCTAGTGCTATCGCAAGTCATGTGGCTGCTGAATATCCAAGTAAATGTCTGGTAAGTGTGTAAAGTCCTTGAATTTTGCCATTAGAATATATAATAATATTCATATTTGCTCGTTTGTTTGTAGTTACGTGTACAAATGCAACAGATGTATTGTGTAACAAGAATGTAAGTTGATTTTTCTGAAAAGAAGTCCCGTCCATGAAATTCTAAGAACTGGTGGGTTTTTTGTTTGTTTGTTTTATTTTTACTGGTTTCTTAGAAATGGACACTGCTTTATGGAAAAAAAATGCCTCGTATGGTACACAGAGAAATGCTTTCATGCTCCTGAGCTCCATTCCATTCCCTTTCCATTATGTGCTTTCTGAAGGAAGAAAATTAGGGGTGCAGTCCATATAGGATCTAGAACCTGTTATAAACAAATTTCTAATCTGTATGACTAGCAAGAAAACTGAAGAATGTTCTATAAAGCACATTTATTCCCTGAGTGTCCCAGATGTGTAGTTAAGTCTCCTTAAAACATCTGCTCTAAGTTACAGTCAGTCAACCATACTTAAGTCAGTCATAATGCATGACCACAACAGAAGTCAGAATTTGATCCTTTAGGATGATATTTGAATGAAAACTAAGCTGCTATTTTATTGTAATAAATTTGCCTCAAAGCACTCAATTTGATTTGAATGGTTGTTTCAGACTTTAAGTCTGCAATATCTGCTGTTAATTGTCAGTATTTCATACAAACTGAAAAAGAAATGATACTTCTTTACTAGCTTTCTAAATTTTGTATTGTTTCCTCTATCTGCATTTGAAAGACACTTTTATAATTAGACAAAAGACCCATCACACTTCTGAAAAGGAAAATGAATTATAAAACAGGAGTATTTAGGCTAGGAAATTTAGTCAAAGCTTGCTTCTGTATCTCCATACAGTAAATGGCTGTTAAGATTTATCTTGTATGTGTAATCTTACACTTCTGTTATGCTTGCTTAGGGGAATACAGCTCACAAACAACATTTTTACTTGTTTTTTTCCCCTTTTAATATTTATAATCTTGTTTTATTTAGGTTGAGGTCCTGATTGCCATTAGCAGTGTCACATCCCCACTGTTGTTCACTGCTTCTGGATACTTATCCTTCAGTATCATGCAAGTTGTTGACATCTTTAAAAATTATCCACCTGCTGTTAAAGTACGTATTTTGATGCAATTGGAAAATTAACATTTACCAATTAATGTAGCAACAAAAGAATGAAGATATCCATGCCTCTATTTTCAGCAGTCTTATGATGTACTACTGTTGCTTCTGATGTTGATGCTGCTAATTCAGGCATGCCTTACTATCGGAACTGTAATACAGTGTGTAAATTACAAGACAAAAATGAAACTGCAGGATTCGTCCTGGACAGAATCGCAGGTTAAAAAACAGGAGTACAGAACTACAGAGGTATGTATTTGTAACCACAATGAAGTTTAAATAAGTAGCATAAATTTATAGCAAAGATGATAGGCCTTGCATGACCCTTGCATGACCCTATGAGAAATCAATGAAATTAAATGTTTTAAATGCTGGCAGAAGTTTTGGACCATGAAATGAGTTGTCAGTATAGTTGTGTCTTTTCAACGGCTGTGAATTTCCAAGGGGAATGAATTTGCTAAGCATAGTTAGTTCTAAGTTCCTTGAACTGCAGATGAGAAGTGTTAGGTACACTGAGCATAGCATCAACACTTGGAAAGCTGCATGAGTGGCTACTTGTGCTGGTCAGTTTGAAGTAGTGAACAGAGGAGAGTGTCTGGAATCCCAGGGCTCTGCATGTCCTAACTATTCTACTAAAGTCGGCAATGAAGATCAAAATTGACATCCTGTGTTTCCTTCCTGCACTTAAGTGTTTGAGCCATTCTTTCAGTTACAGATATATAAATACTTTCATAGAGCATGGTGATGCCAGTATTGCTGTTATTCATGTGACTTGAGTGGTCTTCCAGGGAATAGTGAAATCCAAATCATGTCAGATATGCACAGATTGACTACATGCATCTCCTAGCACAGCAAAGCACATTTAGCCCGTAGGCTTTCCTCATCTCTTCTGAACAAAGCAAAGTGCTGTATTAAAGAACAGGGAAGAGTAAGTCGTGTTAGCTGGATGGTTTCTGTATGGCTCAGCATTGAAAAGGTTGAGTGCTGGATTCAGTCCTTTCTCTAAAAGGAGCACCCACAATGAATCAGCACAGCTAGAATGTGCAGGAAGTACACAGCAACAGCACGGCTGTTACACAATTGGTAATAGAAAATGGAAGCTGTGGATTTAAGTGCCCTTCAGGCTGCTGACGGCATTCAGTATAAGTCACTGATCTTTTGGTTCTGTGACCTGAGAGCTATGTTCTGCATAAAAGATGGAACTCAGCAGCATTTCACAGAATCACAGAATTGTAGGGGTTGGAAGGGACCTCCAGAGATCATCGAGTCCAACCCCCACAGCTGTAAGTTACATTTTTGAGCTTAAGTGATGGCATGGCTAAACCATTCTCTTCAGGTATCAGTTAAATGCCAAAAAGAAGCAATTTTTCTAGAAAAGCAACATCTTATTATTTGCCTTGTAGTGTTTGAACACAGGAATAATGTGACAGGTGAAGGTGTATGTCTCTGTGGCTTTTAAGTAGTTGCATTCTTAGGCAAGATCTTAATTTACTTGCATGTGTGTAGATGAATCTTGCTTCAGTTGCATTGTTGGGACTACTGCTACTTACTACTTTGAGTTCAGAGATTTAGGTTGTAGAGCTTTTAAATAATTTTTTGACAAAAAAAAATCGACAATATCTGAAGTTGTGTGTTTAAAGTAGGATTTTGACCAAATTTCGTTGGCCCAAATGTTTAAGTACTACACTGTTTACATTATTATATTTGTCTGTTGTAAATATGTACTATACAGTATACAAAGCTTTACAATTTACAGTATATACAGTATTCAGACTATAGCTGTGTTTATGTTCTCCCAGATTGTCTCATGTTTACTTGCTTTAAATTCTGTTTTTAACCAAAATGTTGTTTTGTGTTTCCATTTGTTTGAAATTTTTTTACTTCTAGGTTTCCAATAATACCTTAAAGGATTTTGACAAAGACAAAGCCTGGAAAGCAGTTGTGGTGCAGATGGCTCAGTAGTTTGGATTCTGCAAATACAGCCACTACAGTACAATCCAATGCTATAAATCTACTGTTTGAACTAAGGCTTAAAAACTTTCCAGTTTATAAACAGCAACATAGTTACAGCAGTAGGAGCCAATGAATAACACAATAAATATTGCCTTTCTAATCATTTTTGAAATATGTTGATAACATTTTTAACAAATCTGTCTTTTCTGTTGGTATCTGCATCTTAGTCTTTCTTTTGAAGTTATCATTGGGGAAAAAAGTAATGACTCACACACTGACAGCGAAATAAAACATGACTGTATGCAGTAGGCTTCGAGTGTTTGCAAGAGATTGCAATAACTGCAGTTATGCAGTATGTGTAACTGATAAATGCTTTTGTAAAGTTATGAATACAAATTACAATTGTTATTTCTGCTTATACTTCACTTTTGTAGGAGTTGTAAGTTCTTTTTTGTTTCATTGCTTTTATATAAATAAAAGTCTGTTATCTGAAAGCTCAAGGATATGGATTGATATGCTACCTGTAGAGATGAAAATAGAATAATTTCTCAAATTCAGCTTCATCTTCTGACTTTTAAGGGAGGAAGGGAGATTTGCTGTCAAAAATCAAAGTAAAAGTAAAACAAACAAACAACAAACACATACAGCCAAATAACCAGAGATCCCACTGATAGGAGTTTTTTCACACTTGAAAATGTATGTTTGGCATGTTATTTTTCATTTATTTCTTTTCCTTACTATCTTTAAAACTTAAGGGATGTAGTTGCTCTTTTTTTTTTTTTTTTTTTTTTTTTTTGTAGTTGCTATGCTTGTAGTTGTAGTAGTAAGTAGTAAGTAGTAATGCTTGTAGTTGCTGGGGTGTTCAAGGAAAGACTGGATGTTGCGTTGAGGGACATGGTTTAGTAGGAGCTATTGGGAATAGGTGAACGGTTGGACTGGGTGATCTTTTAGGTCTTTTCCAACCTTAGTGATTCTATGATTCTATGATTCTATGATTTAACTATATCCTCCATTCAGATTGCCTTTACTTCCTATGTGAATTAAGATTGAATAGGTTATGAACAATATAAATTTCCACATTGATAGACTTTTGAATTTACATTGGGTTAGCTGCAAAGTGGTGGGGTTTTTTTGTCTGTTTTTTTTTTTTCCTGTTTGTTTTTGAAAGATTGAATGCAGAAGTTCATTCTTTCTCTTTGAATGTGCAACCAAATCATTTATTCAGAACATGGTGGAAAGCTCTCCAATTTTGGGGAGGGGAATTGAGAAACAGGTATGTCGGTGAGGGTTGGAGCCCTTCAGGTATGTTAGTGTGTTTTTTTGGTTCTGTTTAGGAGAGCTGATATAATTTTAGAATTTTAATATACAGAGAATACTCTTTCAAGTTTATAGCAGTGCTTCTTAAGAACACATACAGAAATCTCTCCATTCACATAAAAAAGTGGGTTGTTTTGGCCTAGGCTAATTCATCATCAACCAGAGGATGCTGCTGCTGTTTACTGGTCCTGGTGGGAACATTTTATCAGCAAGGCAAATAAACAATATTACCATCTCTGCTACAGTCTTGCAATTGAAGGGTTTGAATGCATCTCAGCTGCTGGCTTTCTTGTATGTGATGAAGTGCCTTGGATAAAATGAATCTGTGCCTAAAAGAGGTATCTTTTTTGTGAAGGGATGTTTGGCTTTGATTATGAAGAAGGTGAGATCTAATTAGATCTTCTATTACTGAGCACTGGTGGAGATTAGTAATAAGTGACACGTGCTTAAGGAATCTGCTTTCCTCAGAAGGCCCTACTTACAAGGCACTGAGCTTCTTTAGTCTCTTTTTGTGTCAAATGATTTGAGATGCTCTTCCAAATGGTAAGAATCTTTTAAACTGCTACTGATTTTGAGTGTTCTCTCAGGAATGACCTGGAAGAGCCTAATTATTACAGAGTGTAATCAAGTTTGTTTACCTTTCCTGGGAAACTGAAGTATTTTAATGATAGGTGAAGAAAAAAGCATTCGTCTAAAATAAAGAGGAAACTAAATAGACTATGGATACTAGTCTGCAAGTTGACTTATCTTAAGCAAGAAAGAAAATTGTGGAAGTAGGAGGAAGGCTTTTACACCATAACCAATATAGGGCTGGCAGTTGATATGAAAATGCTTTTTCAGGCTTCCCTATAAATCTCACTCTGTGGTCAAATGCATTTGTATTTCAAAGCAACAGCCCCTGCAGGCCCCTGCTACCCCCAGACAAGTGACCTGTGTGTTGGTGTATGCCACAGTAAATCTCTTGATTGCTTGTAGCATTCACTAGGGCGTGCTGATAGATGATGTGACTTTAAAATAAGGAGAAGGCCCTGGTATAACCTAAGGGTTGGTTCTTCCCATGGAAATAAGGTGTCTTCTGGTCGGATTCCAGACATGAAACGATACACCACAGTTAAAAGCTACCTGCAGTTTTTAAGATTGCCAAAGCAAGGATTGGAGGAAGATTTCCAGAGTGTTTGAGAGGTTTGGTATTTGCCCTGAACAACTCATAGGTGCAGACTTATGCTTCTTTGGCGCATTTAAGCCTGGTCGGAAACCTACAGACATAAATCCAAGGGACAAAAGTCATTGCCCCCTCTAGTGGCAGCTTGGTGACACAACACCGTGCCGTGCTGCAGGGGTCCTGCTGGGAGTCTGATGGAACTGGAACTCAGCGGAATGACTATTATGTACAGCCGCTTGTTTTACCAGGGATTAAGGTCCTAGTTTATAAGTAAATAAACAAAAAATAGTCTTAGCTAAAATAAATAAATATGGCTGAGACACTTAGCTTTTTAGATCTTTCCTATCATTCATATCCAGCAGCAGAGAGGGGAGATTGGCATGAGATGCCTAAGCTGATGTAACCCAGTGCTGAAATGGGTTGCCTCCTCTGGCCTTCTTCCCCATGCTACCAGTGACTGGTATCTGACTATACTCACAGAAATTTATCAATTAAAGGAAAAAAACAAAACAAAACACTTTTCTGCTGTTTTAGTCAGCCAGCTTAAGACACTGAAAAACTCAATGGCCCTCTTTAAAACTTGGGATATGACTTCAGTGGAAGTAGATCACCAGAATATTTGTTTTTAGTGCCTCTCTTCTCTCTCCCCATCACATTCCTTACCTATGGTTTGCACAGTCATGTGCACCATCTCGTTTCCATCCCCTTTTCCAGAAATTAGACTTGTACGTGATCCATACCAGGAACTGCAACTTATGACTGACCGTACAATTTGTGTTGGTAGAGCACTATCAATAGAGTTAAATGTATTCTCCAAATAAGAAAATGGCATGCCTTGTGATCTGTGTTTTGTGTTTCTGAAGAGTATCCATCAGATCAAAATAATAAGATCTAAATTAGTTTCAGAAACTGCATTAGTCAGGCTTCTTTGGCGACTGATTTGGTTTTATAATATTTTCCTGTTTTTTCAGATGCTAGAAGTACTAACATTTGTATGTTACTGAGTGGGAAGTCCCCCAGGGAGAAGCCGACAACCTGAAGATTATGCGAGTGTCATTTATTTTGCATATGTATTTTTAGGGTTGCATCTTCAAAAGATGAGATTTGGATTATTTTTTTTCCCTAAGTTTGTGTTACCTGTCTAATGCTGAGGTGCTTCACTATAAAATTTTTCTGCCTCTGGGAAAGCATCCAAGGAGTGAAGTAACAAAACTGGAGCTGGGCATGATGATGAATCAGATTTGTGCAGAAGGAGAACCATGCTAGCTTTAAGTGATGAAGACGAAAACAATTTGTATTGGCCAATTAATTTCAAATGCGTATTTTGTTGATATCAAATTAGGATCATCAAATATGATTTCAAAAAATATGTTTTTCATACATCCTTTTTCAAGACAGGAGAGGTCTCCCAGTATAAAATATCCTGGTGGAATGGTGGAGCTTTCCTCAGAGTATAATTTGAACTTTTTAGAAATGAATTTACCTTTCCAGGTCAGTGTTCATTCTTTCAAAAACTGCACCTCTTCAGTGAACAAGTTATAATTTTTCCTTTCCATCCTGTGAAGATCAGCTATTACAGGAAGAGAAAATATAAAACCAATACTTTATTTTTTGAAAGGTGAATGATTTTCCCCCGAACTCACTCATTTTTAAAATCTGATACAACTCCTAATCTGAGAACTCCTTATTGCATGCATGTTAGCAAGCGGCCATTTCTTCAGAGGGCAGACTCATAGGTTTAAACTGGCTCTGCACTTTTCTGTTCTACTTATGATCTGTGGAGACAGATCACAGATATCAGGAACCACCCAGAAATGGTTGCCCAGCACTGGTTGCTTTCAGAAGCCCTATGAGAGAGGAGATGCTGATGGCACACTACCTACCTCTGTACTGTTCTCTTTGTCTCTGTAATAGAATGTAGGCTGGCTTGCCCACTGCCCCCTAAGGACAGTGCAGGGATTATTATTGATCTTGAGTCTCACCATTTACCCAATAACCAGGATTAATATCAACTGCTCTGGTATTTGTTTTTCTAGACAAAGACCTTGATTCACTGGGGCTCAGTTCTGGGGATATGCACTGTTTGCCAGCAGTCCTGGTTTGAATTATTCACGTCCTTCTGATGCTGTTTTACCCAGTTCCACTGAAGTCTATGGAAAGAGTTTCATTTAATTCAATATGGTTCATCTTTCAGTCTCTGTATTTATTTTTTATGTTCTTTCCAACATCTGATTTATATAAAAAGCTACATAAAATCAGAATTTTATCCACGTTGTATAAACCCTGAAGTTCAAGATTGAAATGGAAATGAAAAACGATAGCATAAAAACATAAACCTACTCTGAACTGCCTGTTTTTGTGGAGTAGGTTCCAGAAAGACACTTCTGATGCTTCAATCTGGCCTGCCTAAAAAACCCCAAATCCCTCAAATCACACAACATCACTCTTTGTTACAAAGTTGCCAAATTGCATTGGTGTCCTTTCATAGTTTACATTGTGGTCCCACAGCCCTCAGTTCAACTGAGGGATTGAGATGTTACTGATGGCACCTTTGGACAGAGTTGCTGCTGCTTATGTTTTCAAACCATAATATCCAGTATGACAATTTCTTTAATGATCTTTCTGTTGTAGAAGTTATTTTTTCAGTTGTACAGTCACTCTGGGCCAAACTCTGAGAATCAGACACGTGACATAGAGCAGGTATTTGCCTGGTGGCTAGCAGAAAAAGAAGCAGTAAAGAAGTACAAGATCTGCTCCAAAAGCAATGCCTCCCATTTTTTAATTTGACCCACAGAGCCAGAGTCAGATAGTGGTAT